GAGACATCCTCGGTGGGTCGCCTCGTACGTCGGGTCGAGCAAGTGGAATTGTGCCATCCTACAAAAAAAGTCAATGTATTAGAAAGTGAATATACAATGAAACATGAACTTAGAAATGTACAAGTAATTGACACAATTACATGCATAAATTGAGACATGTATAATTAATTAAATGAATACGACAAATATGAAATAATGAAAACAACCAATAGTCGTAGCTCACTAATTTGCCAATGGCAATTGCGTGAATTGTGGCTAAGTCTACCACACTTGCCGCACTCGTACTGCTCGGGGTTAGTAAGAAATGGGGTTCCTCTCCCATGCCTAGTTCTTCTGGGTATCTGATCCATAACCATCCTATGCCTCGTCCTCTTTCTTGATCCACGCTTGTTCTAACGATAAGCTAGATCCGCAATGTACTTTGGCCCATCATATGGAGGACACTCTCCAGGGTCCCGGAAAGGCACGAAGCGGGGGCTCCATGTGTGCACAAACGTGTCGACATTGAACTCGTGAGGTATCCTGCTCTCGATATTATAGTTGCGATGCCTAGCTGCTGCCACCAAATGGGAACATAGAAAGTGGTACTGCCTTGGTTTACCATAAGTGCATTTAAAATCTTGGAGGATAACCACATGCATCCTTGACTCTCGGACCTCGCCGTCGAACGTTGTACCACCCCTATGCTCGATCTGATAAGTCCCTGTGGCGTGGTCAAAGCATGTAACCTCATGTGTGCCAGCCCTTTCATTTGCCTTCTCTAGGTGTGCCTTTGGTTTTGGAGCCTATATCTCTCAATCACTCCGCAACTTCAATGCATGGGCGTGTCTATCGTTTAACCAGGCAACAAGCTTGTAGAAGATGAATTGAACGATTGCATTCACGAGCACACCACGTATCCCCAATAGCAACTTATTGAATGACTCCGCCATGTTGTTGCACTGAAACTCGTACCTCCATCCACCGGCGTCGTGAGCTCTTGTCCATTTCTCCAAATCCCTCATCAAACATGTGAGCCATTGTCTACCTTCTGCTTTTGATGCGGTTCTGACCTGCTCTAACTTTTTTTAAAAGTACTTGTCCTCAAGCTATCGAGCAGCCTCCTGGAACAGATCAAAGTTACCTTTTACACCATCCTTCCAGAGTAGATTCTCGGCAAGGTGCCGAGTACACCAACGATGGTGCAAAGGTGCATACCCCCTACCTGCTCTCGCATGGCATTAAGTATGCCCTGGTGCCTATCAGATATGACGCCAACCTCCCTACCAGGCCCAACCACATTTATCCGGACAAGCCTCAAGAACCATCCCCAACTGTCATTGTTTTTCTTCTCAACCAAAGCAAATGCCAAACGAACCAACATGTTGTTCACGTCACATGATATAGCTATAAGAAGTATGCCCAGGTATTTGCCAATCAAGAACGTACCATCAATGGAGAAGATGGGACGACAGTGCCTAAAGGCCTCGACACACTGAGGAAAGCACTAGAAAGCATGAAAGAATATATGCCTCCCATCGTTTCATGCATTTGGTTTTGGGATGTACTCATAATGCATACCTGGATTCACCGCTTTGATTGCATTGAAAAGTACTGGCAGCTGCTCGTACCCATCCTTCCAGTCTCCATATATCATCTTCCACGCTCGCTGCTTAGCCCTCCAAGCTTTACCATAAGTTATCACATAACCTCCATACAACGCCTCAACGGTCCTGATAATTGTCCTAACCTTCATGTTGGGTTCTCCCTGCAATATTCCCATCAATCGCTTGACAATGAGGGTAGATGTCAACTGCCGATGCTTCAGTGTCAGGTCATGGTCAGCACAATTGTGTGGCCCGATAACTTTTGTGATTTTCCACTTTTCGGTGACCTTTTGCTTCCTTGCATAAACTCTCCATGGGCAGCGTTCCTTGTCACACACAACTGTGTAACGGCGCTCCGCATATGAATGCAAGACCTTGTAAGGTCTCTTTCGTATCACTGCAAACGCCTGAAACCACCTCTTCAATGCAGGGAGGTCCTTGAATACCCTCCCATTCTCAATTATCATATTAGGGCCGGCCTCAGGAGCTCATCATCACGTTCTTCTACACACGCCTGATCAAAATGAGCAAGATCGCTGAACTCGTGAACTCTTGGATCACGGCGACTAGGAAAGATACGCCTCAGCATCTCAACATCACTCTCTGTCAGCTCTCCAACAGGGCGATCATCATCAGAATCAAGAGCCCTTGCCATCTCATATGGCTCCGAATCATTCATAATTTCAACACTATTGGAGCCACAGAATCCATCTCCACAGTGCACTTGCGCAGCAATAGGGGGCACATCCATATTCTTAGGAATGTCTCCTGCAACATAAGTAGAGAAATGAGGAAAGAATAAAAAAAATGGATGTAAGGGAGGGGTTAAGCTCCCAATAACCATGCGGTTAAGACACTTACTCGGATGATTCTGTGTCAAAGGGATCTCATGAGAAGGATCTGCCACAACAACATGAGTCTGACAAGCATCTTCAACTATCTCATTGGGGGTAGATTGAGCATCGAGAACCGTAGGTGCAACCTCCACATCCATATCAGGTTCCGGGACGGGAGGGTCGATGTGTGGCTGCTGACCCATTGGTGGGGAAAACCCATGAGGGATGGGATCAACTAACACCCGACGCACAACCACATCCAAACATTACAGCTGGTTCTTCATAGCCGATCTCACATAGTTCTCCCACTGATCCACACACCCAATTAGGATCATTCGTCTGAGGATGTTGGGAGGAGAACCTATGTGCAGTATACCCTCAACTGCAATGCCATCATCATCATCTCCAAGACAATGCAGCTCCTCCCGAGCCCTTACAACCATCTCACTAAATGAAGGCCTATCATTGAATAGCACAGACACACTTTACATGTCAACAAACTCAACATATCTATAGCGATTGTATTCAACGGTGCCTCCATGATATATGGTCACTAGGTTGTTCATCTAGTTCAAACACATAACGAAATACATGTCTTTTAGTCCAAATTAGATGATAGATAGTACCTTACAAGTATTTTCTAACTACAAACTAAGTAAATAAGATAATAACTACGTGTATATATATATATAGTGTACTCACTAAATAGCTAGATCCTATTTAGTTAACTAAATATATAACTACTTATCTAAGTAGCTATCTAACTATATGTATATATCTATGTATGTATGTTTCTATCTATCTTACTAGATCACTAACTAAATTAACTACCTGAGTCATCACATTTACTAGTAAATAACAAATGTCAAAACTACTACACTACAATCAAAGCTAACTAAGTACGTACATTGCATATTCATAATTTTTACATGTCCGACGACGGAGTCGCGGACGTCGACGGAGTCGCAGCGGACGCCGGGCCTGGATGAGGCCGACGAATTTGGGGGCATGTGGCATGGCCAAGCGAGCGGTAGGGCAGGCGGTCGGCTGCGGGCAAGATGGTGGGTGGCAGGCGCTCATGGGCGTGGTACAACAAGTCGGGTCTTGAGCGGCGCGGCAGGCGGCGCGGAGTAGGTCAGGCTGTGGCACGGCAAGACGGCTGCAAGCAAGGCGTGGTATGGGTGTGGTATGCGGCGTGGCGTGGGAAGGGCGGCCAGGCTCGAGCGAGGGCGCACGGGTGCGGGTGGCCGGGCGCAAGCGAGGGTGAGGGCGCGCGGGCGCGGGCGCGGACGGCGGCGGCGACGGTTCCCTTGGTTGGGCAGGCGCCGCTGGTGCGAGAGAGAGAGGGAGAGCAAGAAAGAAAGAAAAGGAGGGCCCATACGTAAGATATGCTTGGCGCCAGTAAGCATGGCGTCGAGCTTGGTGTCAAGATCTACGGCGCCGAGCTGCCTGCCATGTCATCGCCACGTTTGCGTCGAGTTCAAAAGCTCGGCGTCAGCAACGATGACGCCGAGACGTGCTGGCGCCGAGTTAAGGGACAAGATTTTAAAATCCTACCTCCAATGACATATTTATGAAAAAATAAAAAATTCGGACATTACCGCGACTCTCCGCGGCCTGGGCCGGTCCACAGTGCCACACGCCCACACGACGCTTCCCTCTGGCACAGGCCCACAGTGCCACACGACGCCACCAGAAGTACAAGCTTGTCTCAAAAAAAAAAAAGGAGTACAAGCAAAACAACAACGGGACCATCCAATCCGTGTCCGAGGCGGAAGGAAATTTGACCCGCTCCGATCCGGGCCAAGCCAACGACGAATCAACCACCCAGTGACGAACGAAATCACGAGGTCTCGACTCGACGGCTCACCCAACTCCGAGGTCGGAGGTCGGAGGTCCCGACCCGAAGGCGCAAGCAAATGAAACGCCGATGCCTCCGAGGTCGGAGGTCGGAGGTCGGAGGTCCCGACCCGAAGGCGCAAGCAAATGAAACGCCGATGCCGTCAAGCCGTCAAGCACAGCATCGCGCGGTCGCCCCTGCATGCCGGCTGCCGCCGGAATCTCATCAATTCCCCGTCCATCTCCTCCGGCTCGTGCCCTCGCCCACCTGACCTGCCTGCTCCCTCTATCGCCACCCGCCCCCGCATCGCTTCTCGCCTTCTCTTCTCCGAACCTTATTTAAAACCGGAACCGCAGCGTCCGAAACGAAAAGATCCTCTCCTGCCTCGCTGCCATCGCACCCGCCCGCCCAAACGCACGCGCTCGGCGCACGGACACCTGCAGGCTGCAGCTGCCGCGTAGCCAGCCAATCTCGCTTAAACAAAACCCACCCAAATTTAAGCAATCCCAATCCCAGTCCCAGTCCCAGTCCCAGTCCCAGCCCGAATAGGGGTATTTTTTGGCCGAAAGTAAGGAAGGCAGGTGCACCTGCGCCGTCGCAAATTTCGCTTCGCTCCGCACCCGCGCCCGCCTCGTCGTCAATCCGTCCACCCACCCATCTACCGCGCCGAGGGAACGACCCGCGGCGGCTCCGGCGACGTACGCGGGGAGAGGAGAGGAGACGAGATGAGATATTGAGATGAGGCGCGACGGGGTGGTGGGCATGAGGTGCAAGAAGCACCCGTACCAGGCCGGCGGTGGCGTCTGCGCCACGTGCCTCCGCGACCGCCTGCTCGCGCTCGAGGCCGCGCAGAACGGCGACGACGCGTCCTCGCCGCCTCCCGCGCCCGCGTGCGCGCAGGCCCCTCCGGTTCCGCCCGAGCCCCTGGCGTTCCCGAGGTCGGTGTCGCCGTACGTGTCCCGCAGGAAGTCGGACACGTCGGGCGCGCTCAGGCACCACCCGAGCCTGCTCTTCTTCCGGACACCGCAGGTCGGGCCCGCCTACGGCGGCGGCGGCGGCGGCGCGTTGGAGGAAGGCGACATAGCCTACGAGTACGAGAAGCGGCGCGCGCGCAAGTTCTCCGTGCTCGCCACGCTCTTCGGCCACCACCACAGATCGGAAGAGAAGAAGCATCAGCAGCAGGAAGGCGCCCCCAAGGAGCGCAAGAAGCATTCTTGGTTCGCCGGGATCATACAGCGCCGCCGCAAGAAGCAGGCAGCGCCAGCGCCGGAGCCGGCCTCGGTCACCTCGCCACAGTCGGCCCCGCCGAGGCGCTCCTCCTGCCGCGCCCGCGCGGTCAGCAACCGGGGGCTCTCGCCGGAGCGGGACAGCCACGGCGGCAGCGGCGACGAGAGCAGCAGCTCGCCAGCCGCCGCGGATCCCCCGTGGCGGCCGTCCCCGTCCCTCATGCGGAGGACCCCCTGCCGGCGCCGCCAGACCAACAGCATGCCGTCGGGTTTCGTCGTCTGCCTCAGCCCGCTCGTGCGGCCCAGCCCGGGGCGCCGCCACCGCCCCCCCGTCCAGCCGCCCGACCCCGGCTCCTTCTCCTGCGAGCTCCGGCCGTCGCCGCTCCACAGCCTCTCGTCCGCCGCCTCCGTCACGCGCTGTCGATCCAGGAAGCTCGCCGACGGCGGCCGCTTCCGGTGATCTTTGCTTCCATTTTCCTCCTCTCATTCCACCCAATCCAGATTACTAGTCCACTTTTTAGAATTTCTTTTTTCTTTTTGGATTTATTACATTTTGTCTATCAGTGAAGAAGAGTCTGTAAGATTTGATTGGCACACCCAAACCAAGTCCAAACCACCCGTTGACATATACTATCTGCGTAGGTTACTACTGCTTGTCGGCCCAACATTCTGCTAAGTTCACGGGCTGGAGACAAGCGGACTCGAACCGCTGACATCCGCCACAGGATAAACCACCGCCCTCCCGACGGGTTCTACCATAGAGGACAACTATAGGCAATAACTCCCCCCCTCCCCAACACAGCTTACAACTTTTATTGTACTGTGCTCTCCAAAGAGCAACTCTTCTTAAAATCCTAAAATAAAAGGTGCTGAATTAGAATCCCATTATAAAGATTATTGGAGTTCCGGAGAATCCAACTACAGAGAAACCAGGAACGGGGAGCTCTCCTCTTTTTCCGCCCGACTCTTAGATCTTAACTTAAGAATGTGGCAATGTAACGAGCTGCTTGTACTGCTATCAAGTAACTACATGTTCATGTTTTGTACAGCTATTTGTGTAATCTCCATTTCTTCTTTTGCGAAAAAACTGAACTACTCTAACCCATGATTCTTTGTCAATGATGTTCGGATTAAGTACTAAGAAAGATTAGTCTTAATGATGTCTATGGTACAGGTTCTACGTACAGAATTAAATGCTGCTGGAGATAGACAGATGGAGGAGAGAGACAGCATTCGCACAGAGATTAGTAAAAGAAGTTTCTTGATCGTTTTGTTTTGTGTCTGAATGAAAGTCCTGAATCTGAACCTATTCTATGGCTGATGAAAACAAGAGATCTCGTCGGAGAGAAAAACTTTATTATTTTGGCCTCGTTTAGTTGGCGAAATTTGTTGAGAAATGGTACTGTAACATTTTCGTTGTTATTTGACAATTAGTGTCCGATCATAGTCTAATTAAACTTAAAAGATTCGTCCCGTGAATTTCATTTAAACTGTGTAATTAGTTTTATTTTTTATTTATATTTAATGCTTCATACATGCGTCTATAGATTCGATGTGACGAAGAATCTTGAAAAATTTTGCAAAATTTTAGCAACTAAACAGACACTTTGTTGAAATGGTACTATGCGAACAAGACCGGTGATACATCAATTCTACTAGTATTATATTTCAATTCAATTCAATTCCATTTGGTCAGAGGATTCACATGGCGGCAGGCAGCATATTGATGGTGGATGGATGCCCAGTCCCTTCATTACTCTTTAGCTGGTACACCAAACTGTTCTATTTAATGTTCCCAACCTCTTTGTGCGTGTTGGAGCCGTTCACTTCCACTGGCCTGGCCATTTGTTCATTCCAAATTTCCAGTTCTTTCAGTGACACGGGTAGAAGAAAGAGGTCATGGTCACAACTCACAAGCAGAGTAGTATACGTCTTCTTGAAAAAATGGCACGGTGTATCTTTCTTGAAATACTTACACTAATGTCAGACATCAATTTGGAGGAGATTCTCCTCGCATTGAGAAATGTGTAATGATGATGATCGATGATGATGTATTCCTGTGGGTATTAGCGTGACTGGCTGACGATGATCAGCCTGTTTGGTTCAGTCAGGCTTATCAATCAGTTAACAATATTTTTCTTTCATAACGAATTAGCACTAGCTGGGCTTAGTCCAGAAACCAACCAGCGAACAGGCTCGATGTGTGTGAACATACACACTGGTGGCGCCTTGTGCTGTGTCTCCATGCTCCTTGGATCGATGGATATCCATTGTTTAACTTGCACCTGGTGCCAGTGTGCCATCACCGTATCAAAGCACCAGTACTTCGTTACTACTAAACAATGGGGTTATCACAGCTCACAGATAGCTACTGCTACCAATACACTCAATATAAGATACTGTCGGTTTTGGCATGTTGTTGGGAGGTGTGGTTAGCTCGTGTTAAGCTGACCTGTTAGGCGTAGTTTATTAGAGGAATAGGTTGGACTTTTCAGCAAGTTTTGTTTTTTTCTATCCCCTCCGTGTTTGAAATGCCAGATACGCTATTGTTATCCCAGACAGACAGCAAACACATACATAGACTAAAGTTTGTACCGTTCCCAGCAAATGATTTGCTTAATCCTTGGAAATGTAGCTGCCGAGTTCTGATTGGTCGGGAGTTCCTCGGTTTCAACTTGTCTTGCGTCTTCCCATGGGACGCTGATGAGATCTCGAGTAGGAAGGTCACGTTTGCTTCGCTAAAAAAATAAGCTAAAATATCATTCTGATTAAAAAAACAAGTTAAATAAGACGAATTATAAGAGAAACGAACGTAGCCTCTACTTACACGTACGTACTCTGTGGTGTCCTGAAGCCTAATCATGCGGCACGTTGGGGATTTGTGCCCAACTGGCTGCTGCTGCGAAGCGCGAAGTCAGCCTGCCCGGAGTCAACCTGGATAATTTGCTCCCAGCAAAGCCAATCATCCGATGAAGCAGAACACAAATGTTCATATTGCATTGGACAGAGAAAATGAAGCATCAATCTAAACCCCCAGCTTCATTGACAGAGAAAGGCAGACCATGAGAGACATGGAGCTCGATCAGTGGATGAAAACAAACTCCACCGGTGGAGCAGGCAATCATGTCGCGCGCACTACCGGACCGGCCTGGGAGATTTGCCAGACTGCCATGCCACTCGCGGACGGAGCTTTCGTTTCCCTTCGAGATCACGCTTAATGCCGGTAGTTTTCGCGGGGACGCCGGCCCAGCTAGCCGTGACGGATGACGGACGTGAATGGCCGGGGGCCGATGGCAGATGACACCCCTCCTCACCCCTGCGCTAGTGGTGGGTGGAGTGGAGGCGCCTTGGCGATGATGATATGATGATGGCCAGGACTCGGTCCTCGCCGGGCCCCGGCCACTCGGCTAGGCTGGGATCGGTCGCTGGCTCGCTATTAGTGCGGTGTGGTTGACCGGCCGCCGCCCGTGTGTCTGTGTCGTCGCTGCGGGCTGCAGCAGAGCCGTAGCGCGCGCACAACCCTCTGGCTCTAGGCTTCTAGCTTCTCGTCCTCCCGTTGCGCCTTTTCCAGGCCCTTTTCAGCATCGGGCAGGTGGCGCCGCGCCTCGTTGCGGTGGTGGTGACGCCTGTCATATCGCTGCTCTTTTTGTGCTGTTTTTCCTTTGCGGCCAAGGACTTCTGTTCAGATCTCGAGCTCCATGAACAGTTGATCCGCCTGTGACGAGTGTTTGGGGGGGGAATGTTTCTCACTCGCTCGGGGATGGGCTTGTCTCCGGTTTGAACGGGAGCAGAGGTGATGAGTCGACGCCAGCGGAGGTGAAGCGGATGGCTCGTAACTGCGTTCACAATGAACCGAAGCCACTTAAATGAAGTGCCGTTAGGACTTCAGTACCATCCGTGGTACTCTGGCTCCGTGCTAGCTAACCATGTGCACTTCAGCTTCTAACGCGCAGGTCGTACCAGGCAGGACCCAAGCGTGGTGTGCACAAGAGGAATGGTCAGGTCAGTCAAAGGGCTGACCTGCACGGCGTGTCAACGCGTAGTGTCACGAGTGCATCTGTCAGTTTGGGCGGGGGGGACTAAAAAGAATCATGGGCTCATTGACCCATGAACGTTATTCACGCTACAACATGCTGTCACACGTTGGCATATGGCTCCTTGCTCGTGGAACCTGGCTTACGCTCTGTTTCGATTCATTTTCTGCTAATAGTTAACTGGCTATTATCTGCTCATATCTAATATTAGCTAGCTAACTATTAAATACCTATTACCTGGAGAGTGTTTGGATGCACAGCTAATGAAAATACTACTAAGATAACTATTAGCTACTATATTCTAGATGTACAACTAATAATTAGCTATTTTATTAGCTCCACCTGTTTGGATCGGAAAGAGATAACTATTAGTAGGTAGCTATTATCTATAAGGATCGAGCGATGCCTTAATCGGTTTTGCAATCTGGCCTAGTGTCGGGTTTATAAACTCGGGGTCCCTCATGGACCTGTTTCCAGCAAAAGCTCGGCCCAGCAGACGACGTCGCGAACGACGCGTAACTCCTGGGCCAGTCCAAAATACCTAACGACAGGCCAGAAGGGCGATCCAATCTCCGACAGGCCTGGCTAAGAAGGAACGGCGTCCGCTTCCAACTCCGGCCCGCCTCTCCGACCGGAAGGCCTCGCTTCCGACTCCGGCCCGCCTCTCCGACCGGAAGGCCTGGCCAAAGAGAAACGTCGCTTGCTTCCGACTCCGACCCGCTTCTCCAACCGGAAGGCCTGATCAACGCCGCTTCTAACTCTTACTCGCTTCTTCGACCGGGAATACACCAAACCTCTGCTTACAGCTCTTCTCCGACCGGAAGGTCGGATCCGACTAGGGAACAACCGACCGGGGACGCCCGCTCGGTGAAGACCTAGGAAACGGACAGGACAAGAAAAGCAGGGCGCTTCAGTCAACCGCAATATAAAGGACCATACCCTACACACCTACAGGACAGTACTGTAAGGTCATGTCAGAATGGTACTTTATATCCTTCCAGACATGTCAGAACACCAACAGTGTTATGGGCGCCGATATTTATCCTACAGTATGGTAGGCGTCGACATCAACCGTACCGGAAGATCACGATGGAGCCTATCACATGCTTTCGGACATCAACAGTGTTGTGGGCACCGACAAACCGCCTTGTACCCGATGGCGTGGGCAATAAGACTAGGTAGCACACACACACTCTCTTTCTCTCACACTCTTTTCTCTTGTAAGGCCGTCCCCTTCATCTATAAAAGGAGATGCGCTTTCTCCCAATATGGACGATCCATAGAGGACAACTCCAACAACTCTCCAACGATCCGAACAACAAACGATCGATTCACCCTCTACTAGCTTTAGACACTCTAAAGCTACACAGAGCACACGCTCGAATACTTAGCACACGTAGGAGTTCCCGTCACTCTCGGCCCTTCG